AGCAGGAATATTGCATTCAATGCAATATTACTGGGTATATTACTCAAACCCTCCCCTCACCCCAGAATCTGAATGCCTAAAACCTGTTTCACTTTAAAATGCCTGTTCTGTGAATGCCATACCTTTTTCCCCATATATGGCTCATACAGTTGTTAGAACATGACGTTAACAACTGGCTTTTAGTCATTCATCCTAAATTGTGTAAGCACCTTTACAAAGCTAAGTAAATGCTATCCTGATATTACAGAATAGGAAGAAACTGTACCATGGGGAAATCTGGTGGCTTGCTCAGAACCCGTAGCACATCAAAGAGTAGTTGAAAGTGAGTTAACCAATTGGGCAAGAACATAAATCATGTTACTGTGCTATGGAAGTCAAATTCATCTTTTTTTTTAGATGAATGTAGGCGCATTACAGATGAATTAACACATTAGAGATTACTGTAATGCATTAATTCAGCCACTAATCTCTTGATTTAGATGGCCATGTATAAATGCTGGGGAAACTTTCGTAATGAAAGCAGAAGCAAGTAGAGACTTTCCTGTCTTCATGTTCTGGTACAAAACTAGAACTCAGATGAGATATGCCTAAATTTGTAAACTTTCCAGTGAAGCTAAATAGCCAGAGAATGTTAGAAAATAGATAATTTCAGGTAGAAATGCTGCCAAGACTTAGTGGGTTTTAATGATTTCATCTTGAAGAAAAGAGCATCTTGGTAGCCTGATGGATCTTGTTTTGGGTGGTTTTTTTTTCACCCCATAACCCAAAGTAAAACTCAAGGGTGCAAACTCAGGAGGAACTAAAACCTTATAGGGAGTCATGGACCCTCCATTCAAAAACCTCCAACTTTCCCACTTCTGGCTGTATGCAAGTACATTGATCTTCTCTTTCTCTCTTTAATATTGCATGCACACTCTGTAGAGGAATTTTTCCGTTTTCAACCACATTTTAGGTAAGTTCCCCATGTTCTAAGAAAGGTAGTCTTCTTCACTTCTTCATAGGGCTTTTTAGACCCCAATAGGAAAAAAAAAAGGTATTTGGATGTCAGTCACTCAGTCTCTGCTATTTAGAAAGCATGTCTTTCAGAGATGCTTTCTATCCATAGTCCTGCACAACTTGAAATATGGTTGACAGCTATATTACCACACTGCAGATTGCAAAGCAATTCACATTCACACTTCTAAGTGCCTCTCCTTTCAAGACTTATGGATGTATGCCAAATTACTTGCATTGTGGTATATGGCCTTCTATATGTACTTTATAGAATAGGCCTCTTTTTTTTATTAAAATCAATGAAGTAGAGACCAAAAGAGCGGTTTTGAAGGGTGTTTACTAGATGTCAGACAGGGTTAATAATAAAATACTTCATGTATAATATGCATCTTCAACATATTTCAGTGTTTATCTTTAAGAAGGTAGTTTCTCAATTTAGGGTGGAAATTTCCTGGCTAAATTTAAATGGTGAGTAGTGTTGAGTTCAGCTGTCATTGTTGTCTCCCCATTACTGTCTCTGTAAAAAATGAATATATGATTTCATACCCTGTTTAGGCAGTGTTTCTAAATGTAATGGACCAGTAGCCATTTAAGGAGCCTAAGGTCCTGCGTTATCAGAACTATCATGGTTATCTCAAATGAAATGCGAAAGATACAAGATACCCTCCAATGCCATTTTTTCTAGAAAATTAGTGACTATGCCATGTCATGAAGCCTAGTTCTTTGTCACTGTGTTCACATATTTCATTACAGCAGTTCCTTTTCAGACAAGTTCAAGTGGATGATCAGCAGGGGTGGTAAAATTACTATGATAAATGAGGCAAGCTGGTAGATTTTAAAAATACAGACCTATGACAAATATTTTAGTGACAAACCTAATTTTTGGGGAGGGGATAGAAGAAACAGATGCTTTAAAGACAGCTGGGTAAAATATGGACTCAAATAAATTTAGTCAGTCTAATGAAAGATTGACCTGAAGGAGGAGGAAAGGCATAACAATGAGTGTATGATGGTGGAGGGTACAATGCACCTTTCTATTTATTTATTTACTTTTTCAACTATATTATTAAAGTTTCCCTTAGGACTACAGTACCTAAAAGAGAGCAGCAATACAGTTTTTAAAATGTCTTGATATTTACAGGAAAGAGAAGGAATACATGGAAATCGCTATCACTGGCTGTTGTCTATAATGTTTTTGTTCCTGTTAAAAGGATGTGTTTTACCAGAGTGAGGCAGCTATAAAGTGGGCTAGTGAATTATTTTTCCCTATAACATTATGTTTTTGCAGCCCAGAGTTCCTATAGGTTGTGTTCTACAAAGGGTAAATGAATTGCATACAGTGGTTTTCTCTTGAACTGTAGCATATGTGAAAACTCTTGGTCTTCTATCCCAAAGATGTTCTCTAAAATCATGTTCTGTGGTTAGAAAATACCAGTATGTCCATTTATGAAAATAACTTGTAAGAAACTATAGGGAACAGGGACCTAGATGTACTGAAGTAGTTGCACTAGGTAATTCTCCATAAGTAACTTTGAAAGTGAAGCAAAATGATGCCCTTTAAAAGAATGATGGCCTACTTAGTAAGAACAGAAAGTTTGCTGGTTAATTTCAAAGGACAGAAAAGAAATTTTTGGATATTAAATATAATCTTTAAGAATTTCTATACTGGGACACGCTTCCCCTTGTCTCTGAAAATAATACATGAAGTGTACAAGTAGGGTATAGCAAGTATGGCACAGTCCTTTTGCTATGCCCACGTGTGCTTCACCCCAACAGCCCTGAGTTCATCTAATCTCTTTCAACATCTATCAAGTGTGTCTCAGCACGAAAGTTTGTCCACTGAAGTGGTGGAACGGAAAAACAGAATCTCACAAGTGAGAACTATTTATGCTCTTTTCACCAAGCTGTAAAGAATCAGCCATGGTTACATAACCCTTTTCTGCAGGGTTTTGGCAGCTCTAAACACCTTCAAATCAGGTGACAAAAATCAGCTTAAGTACACAAAAAGAAGCTGGAAGCAACATGAGAACAAACAAAAGGCAGAAAAATGAAAAACGTTGCAGTTTACGTGTAAAAAGATAGTTCAAATTTAGGAAATATTTTAAAGGGATTGTAGTTCTTTGCCCAGGCTTTCTCTTGCAGGCCAACCAGATGGTGGAGTTGAGGAAAATGTGGACAAATAAGATGCCTGAAGTGGTTTAGAATGCACACTACTGCAAAATGTGTTGTTGGGTCTATAGGAAATTACTTGGTAATAGCAGCATGCAGTCAAGAGCAAAAAATAAATTCCAACTCAGAACTACTGACGCTAAAGTAGAATTCTTCCCAGATTGCTGGAGAAGCCCTCTGCAGAAAACAGAAAAAATTATGACACAGCAGTGACTGCCACCTGCTGCAGTCCTGAGATCAAATGTGGGTGCTAGGATATTATTTCCCAGCTTTTATTAGCTCATTGGTGGCTTCTGTAAATGTTCTTCAAGAGAACTGCTCTGGAGACTGCTAGTCAGATCTTCAGCTGCTGACAAGAAAAGACATTATGGGTGTGAAGAAAACATTAAATTCTCAGTTGAAGTCCCTGGTGTCTTGTGCAAGGACCTCTTGCCGGAATATTTTGGGCTAGGTCTTTAACTTGTCTACTTTTGTCCTCTGTTATTAGCCCCAAAGACCACAGCAAGTCCAAAACTGTGGTGTATTGAAATCCAATGTGTCTTCAAAAATATTGAAAGTGAGCTTATTTGCTTATCCAACAGAAACATTGGAGACAGCTCTCTACATTTTTGGTTTAGCTTGGAAGCAGAGACCCAAGTCATGGCTGCTGGTCCAGTGCTGCAAAATAGAGCAAGGCCAGCCTTCAAATGTGGCAGCTAAAAGTTGGGGATGCCGGGATTTCTTCACAGTGTGCATGTAAGTGTGGTCTGGTATGATGCCAGGTCTACCTCAGAACATATCTTGCCATTTTGGTCCCGGAATTGTGTGTAAAGTGAAGTATCTGCTATTGGCAGAATATAGAACAGTCTCCAAAAAATAATGGGAGATGGTGATTTTTTACAGTGGAAAGAAAAAGTCTCTTCAGAAGACAAAAAATGTGATCTATTAGCATAATAATGTCATCAAAGATCAAGTGTTATAATATTTTATATTTTTTCATTGGTGTTCCATAAACTTAGAACAATAGCAGGTTAATATATCAAATTGTACATAAAATCTTCCCACTGTATGTAACTGTTCCATATATTACTGTTATATCTTCTGAGATTAAGTAAACACAGAATGTAATGTACTGTACATAAATATAACACTACTGAATCATAATAAAAATTTAAAAATAGCTTTTTACCACGAGAACTGTGTCAGAATCTCTCAGTGAAGGTGCTGGTTAGCTGAAATCAGAGGGCTTTTTTCTTTTCCCAGAAATATACCAATTTCAGCAAAACTACAGTTTCAAGAATGATTTTCTGGTTAAATCTGAATAAAACGTAGCATACCCAACCAGCCAGTGGATGTATGTGAACAAAGGTCAGTTTGTTCTTCTGTCTGTTTTACATAAGAGGCTTGAACCTGGGTTTTCCACTTAGGTGAATGCCCTCACTCTTGCTGGTAGTTTCAGTTTCCCCCACTGAATGTGCTCCCATCCATTAACAAATGCAAATGACCATTTGGAAGATGGAGCCTGAGACCTGTTCTAGCATAGCAACCTGGGAACTCAAGGGGAGGAAATAATGTTCATGTTCTCAGAAAACTTTTGCATATTTCCAAAATCAGAGTTCTGTCAAATTTGGAAGTACCAAAAAGGACATTCGAGAGTTATTAATGTACTCTTGAGAGAGTAATTTTTCAATAGGTAAACACTGCAACAGTAAGCAAGCTCTTTATTTACTGTAAGGAAAGTAATGGTGGGTACCAGAATTCCCATGGCAGAGAGAGAAATGTTGCCCTTGTTTGTAATCTGTGGAGACAGTGACAACTTCTTTTTATGGCTAAGGGCATGAGTTCAATTCTTCTTACAGATGTCTGGAAAAGCACACCCACTAAGCCAGCTGTGGCAGGTCTGCCCATGCTGTGGACTGCTGAATGTTGGAGCCAGTCGCTGATCCGCCAGTGACAACAAAGAGCTCAGTGCTGCGTGGGTTGAAAGCAGCATGAAACAGAAAAAAACGAAGCCAAACCCTCACTGCATTCACTTCTGTGGCCTTATATGAGTCTGCCATAATACCTTCTTACCCTGCATCTCATTTTGCTATCAAGGAATCTCCTGAAACATAAATTCTTTGCTTGTCCCCGTGATATAAGATTTGACTTTATTTAGAATGTTTGACTCTATTTGCAAAGGCAGGATAAAAAAGCATTTTATTTGTGCCATGAAATGAGAGAGTGGAGCAAGCTTCTGCAAGCAGGGTGCTTTGTTGAGTCAAATTTATACTCTCATGTTGAGTGTGGAGCTTATACCATTCTTCACAGGAAAAGGTATGCTTTACGCTAATGCACAGTAATCTCTGTACAATCCCAACTCACTTTCTCCACTTTCAGCCACACCCTAGAGGGAAATTTCTCTGAGAAATTAACATGGGAATCGGCTCTTAACTGCATTTTCAAATATATTTATCAGTTAATTTTTTTTTCTACTGGTATGACAAAGAAATTATACTAATAATAGTAATAGATCTGTGATAACAGATAAAACCCAGACACTGACAACTCCTACATATGGACCGTTTACTTTCCTAGTGTATTTTGAACATGAATTAAGTTAAATGACTGTTATTTTCAAAACACATTTTAAATTGGAAAAATGATGAGTGGGAAAAAAAAAAAAGCATTATGTTTAAAAATCTAAAGGGTGGTGTGCTGCTTTCACCAACAAATGAAGTTGGTTATAGAGAGTCTTGCACTATTTTTATTTTCTATGATCAGTGTAGTAAAGTGGTGGTATATAATAGATAATGCCAGTTATTTCAGTATGGGTGTCTTATAGAAGCTAAATAAATAAAAAGTGACTTAGCTTCTATTTACCTTGCAGCAGGTGAACAAATAAGGTGACAGTGAAATAAATTATTTTTTCCTGCCAGCTAAACATGTCGTCAATCCTTCTTACTAAAGTAATGAAGCAGGGAACCAATATTTTGTTTGCTTTTCACTGTGGGGAAGAAGTTTTACATCAAAAAGGAAGATAACACTTCGAATTTAAGGATAGCTGTTGCTTGGTGTTACAGTCTGCCTACTAAGTCATGTACTGCTTTCTGTTTTAAAACAATCTGAAATGGTTCTAGACCATCCTGTCATGAATATTGGCTCCTATAAATTGCTTAGATAACTTGTAAAGAACACATATGGGGAATTTATTTGGGTCTCAGAGTCACTGTATTGTGGAAATTTTATCTATGTACTGCACAGGATTTATTTAAAGGAAGTATTTGTGTCTTCTGTCAATAATCAGATGCCTAGAATTCTTACCTACTTCTAAAAGTGGGACTGTCAAGTGCTAGTGCAAAAGAAAAAATCCTCATTTACTTCCTTCTAATTCATTCTTTCACTTGGAAGTCCAGGCTTCAGTTTAAATTTCAGGGATGCCATTCAGAGAAAAGTATTTGTAGAATTTTAAAAATGGCCTTTTACAACAGCAGCAGTGGAAATGGGGATCTGTTGTTTACTTTCCCTGACAAAATTGTGGAGTGGCTTTTCTCCATGGGCTCTTTGATATTAGACTATTAAATCCACTTTCACTACCAGTCCTGGACTTCTGAAAACTTCTAGACTGTGTACATATGACAGCTTTGAGAAGCAGTGGGAGGAAAGTGAAAGACAGTGTAAAACTGAATTCTGTGGCAACTGGGCAAATTGCCAGAAAATTCAATGAAGCTTTTAATGAAATTCAGTGTGTTTTACATTAAAGCTGAATTTGGCCCACTGTCTACAGCTATTGAAGTTATACGACTTTAAAAAGTTGCATGAAATTTAACCTACTTGTAAAAATTCAATTGAATGTTGAATGTATTTTAAACCTCCTTGAAAAGTACTTTTAAATTATCTGTTAAGGACTCATACTGTGTATGGCTTCTCTCTTTATTTTCTGTCTGGATGGATCAGATGAAGCACATGGTGATCAGTTCCCATAGTTTCATGCACACACTTGGTTTCATCAAATGAAAATATGTATACATAGTTCATTTGTTTTTAAGAAAATTCTTCTGTTGATGATGAATTTTTTTAGTACTGTGCTAGAGTGATAGATAATTAAGATTGTTTTCACCTTTCCCATTTAAATTTGTCCTAAATTGATGTTTTAATAATGACCAGCTTCTTTAATCAGTGAATGTCCAGGAGTTATGGACCTTGAGAGCCCTACAAAATCACACAAACTTGTATGGCCTAGAGGATATGAAAAAATGGCATTCTTTTCCTGCCCATCCTGAGGAGGTATGAATAGGGAAGTTCAAATAAGATCTCATTTTGTTTTAAGGAAAACATTGGGACATGTATGTACTAACACAGCCGGTTGAATTCTGGAGACCATGATACTTGACAGAGTGTTGTCTGGCTTTAGTTTGCAGTAATTCTGTCTGTCCAGCAGGAGGCCTGGAATGGGCCCTACTGCCTGTGACGTTCAGGAGATTTGCTGCCATTGTTTCAAAATGTGTGTGTTTTGTCTTCTTTGTGTAAAATAAAGGTACTCTCTTTGGTCCTTTATAATAAGTAGCAGCATGTTTCCTCAGTTGTGAATAACAATATTAAATGGGAGATGAGGTTAGAGAGCTCAACAGAAGTTGTACCCACAGCTTGAAATTTACTTTGCTGTAAGAAACGAGGTAAATCAAAAACTCTGCAGCGTTGCAACCTCCTTTACAACAAGGACCACAGTGCTAAATATGGGATGCAATATTGGAAAGAGGGGAAAAAAGATAACTGCTATACTTTGGTATCATCAGTTCAATTTGAGTGTAAAGCCTTTGGATGCCTTTAGAATATTTAGAGTGGATACTGGAAGCACCAAAAATAAGCCTATTCAGGGGAGACCTCCTTGAAGGATTGTGGCCCTATTTAGGATCCACACTTCTAGTTTTACAGCTACTGGCTCAAACAATAGGAGGTATTTGCAGACAGGGAGTGTTATTAGGGAATTTTTTTATTAAAGTCCTTGGGAATATTCTGGACATCCAATCGTGTGGTGATATGCAAGGAGATACAGGGAAGAGATCAAAGCTACATTTTGCATGCAGATAGTGAGTTTTGCAGTATACATTTTGCTTCCTTGAGAAAGTTATGATCATTAGCTCCTAATTCTCCAGTCAAACCTAGAGGGGAATGTATCTGAATGCACCTTGCAATACACATGCAAGTGTAAGGAAATTTTGTGAAGGAAAATGGGTTTCCATAGTGAACACTTTACATCTGCAAAACCTTAGGTCTCACATTTGAATTCCACACTATGCCATTCCTAGGTCAGAAGGCAAAATTCCTGACCAAAGACTGTGTGCTGACCCTTTTGAAATAAGCAAATGTCATCGATTTATTCCCTTGTGGCTGAGTGCCATTTGCACTATCTGGAAATTTTGAGACCAGGAGGGCACAAGAGGTCCAGCACAGAAGCCAAAGTTATATTCACCGATATTAGCCCATTGCTGTATCCTATAAATTCATTCATGTTTTGAGTGTTGGCAGGTTGACTTCTATTAAAAACATGTCTGTAAGATGGAAAGGTCTCCCATGAAGAACATTAGCAGGATTTGGCTTATAACAAGATAGGTACTAAGTTATCCCAAAACACAGTTGGCAGTTACTTAGGGTGGAAAGCAAAGGGTGCTCACAGCACTGCTCAGGGGAGTTCAGCTCGTTGACTTAGAACAGACCTCCCACCTCCTACCTCAATGGCTGTCTTGTGCATATAATAGGATGGTTAGTCCTGCATGAGGCATGAGATGGCTGTTTTTTCTGGCAACAGTGATAGTCTTCAACCCAACAACAGCAGAACCTACAATCTTTTCTGTAAATCTTTGCTCCCTTTCCCTGCCAGAAGTTTTTCTCTCCCTATTTTGGTCAAACTCCAAATATTTCCTTTTAAAAATGTAATTTTCAAATATATACAGTTACTTAAATTTTCCATTCTGTACATTCAAGCACCCCTTTTCATTGCTGGAATTGCTGCCACTAAAGTGACTTCCGTTCTACATTGGTTATGCCCCGTCAAAGTGCTACTCAGGTTTAAAACTGCTCTCTAGCAATTATTAGCTATTTGAATTTATCCTTGCTTATTTAACTAATAATGCAATAACCTCAAAAACACTAGAAGAGACAGGCAAGAACCAGCAATTCTTGATGTTTGTTTACTGTTATGTTCCCCTGTCATCACACACAGTATCCCTTAATTATGCATTTGAATTATTGATGTTTCTCAGTAGTAGAGAAGCCTATGTCCTCTAGGTGCCTTTTGTTCTAATTTCTATCATTTTACTGAATCCTTATAGAAAAATATGGCATTTACTTTAGTTTACTGTGTGTTGTCAGTAAACTTTCCCAAATGAAGGAAGGAAGACCGCATCTTTCAGTGACACGAAACACTGTTGAAAGAAGAAAAAACCCATTATACAATGACAAGAACAAATGTGAGCCAATAGGAATATAAAACGTCTTCACCTTCTTGTTATCTCGCAGCATTCAGATGCTCATAACAGTTTAGAAAGCATACCGCCCACACCACAGGATCTTGCTCCTCTTTAATTTTCTCTAATTTGTGTAGTGAATAACCAAATACTCATAATGCAATTAGAAGATAATCAGGCTTGTAATTATGTTAATTGCTGGAGACTTACATCAATCCTCCAGCAAAGTGATAGGATTTCAGGGGAACTATTAACATGGGAAGAGAGAGGAAGCACACATGAGAGAGAAAGAGATTGGGGGAGTGGGTAAATTGATGAACAGCTTAGGCTTGTATCATTGAGCAACAATGAGAATACAATGGTGCAACAAATGAAAAGGGCCTCAAGGGGAGAAGCTCAGAAAATGAGGTTTTAGGTACCAGCAACTCAACCTCTTTTGTCTGTTTTCTTCCCATAAATAATCATGTTGTGCATCTATATTTATTGTAATAAGCCCAATTCAGAGAAATCGGATCCATAGCTGAACAGAGAACAAAGGGGAACTGTTCAGCTATGCAGCAGTTTGCCATGTCTCCCACACCACTGAAAGAGCCACTGTATTACCTTCTGTCCTCGACTCCTGGGGGTATTCTTTTCTCATGGTGATGTCCGATATTACATTTAAAGCCATAATACTGCAACTGCAATGGGCCGTCTCAGAAATGTCATGGATCAGTCATAATCTGTGAAGAACATACAATACAGAGTGGACTGACAGAATTTATGAAATAATCCACAGTGGAAATTTTTTTTTTTTTTTTAGTTTACCTTTTTTTTTTTTTTTTAATACTTCATCGAGGTTGTAATGATTGGTTAAGCCTTCTGAAAGGGAGTTTTGTCTGATATAGAGTTGTAGACAATGACTGTAGTCTAATAGTGTGGCTGTTTCTGAGTTTACAGAACGGTTTTTTGTGTTTACACTACTTGTCAGAAATTGCCTAGCTAGCTTAAAATAAAAATGGATTTATAAAATGAGTATTATTATTAGTATTATCACTAAGTTACTTGTTCACAGTTTAAAAGATAGTTTAGACATGAAGACAAACTAGTAAAGATCAAGGAAGTCAGGCTACCCTTAGCCTCATATGATCTTTTTGCCCACAGCTGTCATGATGAGATAATGAAGAAAAAGATAATGAATAATCTCAGTTGTTTTCTCTTTTTGTCTGTATGTT